CGAACAACATCTTAGGTGCTCTGTATACGTAACCGAGCAGTACCGTTGCGTCTTTGCACTGTGACCCATAGGGAGTCCTTAGCTGTACCTAGCACCATATTTTCCAGCCTGACTACATTTAGGGTGTTTAGAAAGTATGTTAAACACCTGCCTCCTCTCTCATTGCCCCGGCCACATCCAAAATGTGTATACATGTCGATACTAACTTCGTCATCTGGAATGCTTGGGTGACACCATGATTCCGTTATTATTATAATGAGCGGTTCGAACAGCAGCGATATTGTTCTTAGTACTGGTAGGTTGCTTATAACAGACCGGGCGTTAATAAGGATAATAGAGAGGCATGAATAGTAGGAACGCGTGAACGCTTCAAGATAGGTGAAGAGAGTCCGAGGTATGTCAGGAGCCCATGATCTGATACCATACCAAACGAGTTACCATTATTTACCGTTTCAGTTGTTGGGAAGGAGGCGATTTTAGTAATGGATGGGTGAAGTCAGGTGAGCCACTTAGTTCACCTAGAACGTGGTGTGAATGTGGGGTAGAGAGTTGTTTTGGAGCCTCACCTGTGTCTGGGGACAGGTATGTCAGACGAGTGGAGCTGTTTTTACACGTTGGCGAGTCAGTTGAGCGTGGCCTAGCTAGCCCTGTGTTTAAAGTGCCAACGAAAGATACACTGTCCAGAACTTTTGGGCCCATCACTGTAGGCAAGGTATATGAGGTGGATTGGGCCCGAAGAAACGGCTGTTTAGTGACCTTCTATTGGGAGAAAAACTTGGTAATCCCCACCGCAGTTATGGTGGATCCGTTTTGAGCCTTTGACGCTGATTCTTTACAAGCGCCACAACCATCAGGGGTTTGCTCTTCGTTGAAGACTGAATGGCTTGTCTCCTGTGAGCTGAGATGAAGCGCAGTGTGTATCGGCATATTCGTTAGTCGAAATACGCGTTTCGTCCGTACTTTATTTTCCACCAGCAGTACGTTTAGAGACGTGTTGCTATCACCCTGACCACATGAGCTTTCTGGTTTTGGCAAATGCTGTGTTTGGTGTGACAGTGTTATTGGGATCCTAGACGATGCTGTGCCCACCATCTCCGCACAGACTAGATTCTGGTGCCTGCAGACCTTGTTGTGCGATTTAGGGCGTTCGACCTAGTTTTCTGCACCGTCATAGTCAAGTGGTTCAATGTGCGAATAATATAAGTGAAAAGGAGAAAAAAATAAGGTAGATAGCTTGCCAACAGGAACTTAGTGCACGGTTTCTCTCACCCTATCAGCACATTTAACCGAATACTCCAAGTGTGCCTGTACAGGCAAAGAAAAGTGTTTCTGGATGAATGATCCCCGAAAAAAGCCTAAAACTATAGCAATTGAGCTGTCCAGACGACTGCGAACCACCAGCAGGAAGTACTCCCCAGTTGAGAAGATAGCTGCGTCGTAATTAGCAGTTCTGACGTCCAGTTGGTTAACTGAATTGCGTTTAGCGTCACGATACGGTTGGCAGCCGTTTTTCCTAGATAAACACCGCAGTATTGCTTCTAAATCAGAAATGAACAAAGCACGACGTTATTCAGACTACTATAGCTATCACTGTTATGGTTGGTCAGTGCGATATACCCCTCAGAAAAAGCCTCTAGGTTTCGTTCTCACGTTGCACAGATGCATCTATGTAACGGTCAGCGCCTGCAAAGCAGTGCAATATACCTTCCTGGCGTCAAAGTATAACTGGGGCTAAAATAAATGGACTGAACTGAGTTGACTAAATATCAACCAGATAAACTTCTGGCTTGCCTCCGGATGATTAAGATACGTTAGGTTTCATTCCAATGAGTATGCATCTGAGCGGGCTTCGACGCCATCTTGCGCCCCTTTTGTGCTGGGTAACATGCACATCTTCAGAGGCTCTAGCTCAGCCATACTGGCCAGATCAGTTGGATATTCTCTACCCCCAAAAGTTACCATCACAGTTATCCTGATTAAATATGTTGCGCCTCCTAATATATTCCTGAATACCCATCCTTTCGATCTGTGTTCCATTGTCAGTGCTCACATATGAGTTGAGGTACTGATTAAGCAAGCACTAGAGCACATTGAGTTAAGTGCGGTCGGTTAAGCGCTACATAATACCAACACATTCAGTACCCTTACAGAGTCAAAATGTTCCCTAGATCGAATGCCACGTCGGCGAATTTAGCAGCTGAATTCAGTCAACTTGTGAGGAGTCAAAGCCTACGAACATGGCAGGAGTGCGAAGGGTGCATCAAAGGCCCTCAAGGGGTGAATCCCCTAATTAATGGGGTCATCATTAAATGCTAGAAGAAACTACCAGCTTTTAAATAAACAAATTTTTGTTCTCACATTAGTAATTTAGCATGAGAGAAGCCAGTTTGCAGGCATCATCACATTGATGTATGTTGGAAGGTCTACAAGATTTTACGGGTCCTGAACAGTACAGAGGGGAGGTCGTTTAACTCCATCAAAAACATCAGATCGCGGTTACGGGACGAAGAAAATACCACTTTCAGTATATTCAGTGCATCAAAGTGAAGATAATAAATATTCCCATTCCCATATAATAGATTTAACATGATAGATACCAGTTAACAAGCACGGTCAAAATGATGATTTCGAAAGTGCCGGGAATCATATAACTCACATAGCAAGTCATCGATATGCATAAACTTATTAAAACTTGCTGCTAATCAAGAGACGGGTATGGATTTCCATCCGTCATTACGCAGATAGGTTCCACTATCAACGACAAAGGCGCGCAACGCTCGAAGTTTGCGTTATAACTAGACGACATTGTTAGTCCATTTGCAGTCTCTTATTCAGTGATATAAACATCCAGTCATCAGAACGTTCTTCAGTTTTTAGCTTTGCTAACCATAAAGAGTTTATTTATACTATCTGGAGTACCAGTAAGTACCCACAGTTATATAACCAAGGCAGGCGTCTGAGTCAATGCATTTACAATACACCATGTGGTCTAAAAGTAGTATACACCAATTCCACTGGGAACATTTCTAGTAGCAGATAGAAGTAGACTTTGAAACGGTTACTAGTCTAAATGGCAGCAGTTATACGTAGACTTCAGGCATCGTTCATATTAGCGTAAGCAGCATCATTCGGGGAGTGTATTTGATGCATGGTAACTTTTACTTGAAAAGATCACTTGATACAGAGTACTACAGAACAAGTAGTGTGGAATTAGTGCAGGTAAGTCATATTCTGAGCCGCTAGGTATACTGGTCTCTCGTTTGATCATTTGTTCAGAATGTTTGTGCCACCATGACTGTTGGGAAACTTTAGTCGGTTCGTCGCAAGAAGAATCCTGACCAGCTGATGAGTTGATAGGAAAGATATTCCAGAAACCGCGAAAGATTGGAGGCGGTCCAATAATTCATGGATTTAAACAGCGGGTATTATTTCCACTTAGTACATATGTCCAGATTGAAATTCAGCATTGAATGTCGTCATCGAGCTGTTGCTGTAAAATAAAAAAAGAAGAAGCACGATCAGATGTGGGAAAGGGAATCACCATGCAGACCAGCTTGGAAAAGAGGGAAGTTCCTGTACTTTCAGACCTATCCGACTTTTTGTACATCTTCCTGTATGCATGTGTGATTAACCACTTAGTTTTTCCATCATAAGATTCGTAGAACGTTTCTATACCTGGGGCTATCGTAGTAGCTTTGAGAGGGAACCAGTGTACATAATTTCATTATAGTGAGGAGGGGAACTAGTGCTCACAACCTTGTGAGCAATCGTCAACCCATAGGTGTAGGAGGGGCTCGAGGGCTGTAATGGCTGTCTCATACATTTAGAGGTCCAAGTATATCCTCATTAGCCCAGGATGCATAGGTGGTGGCTAATTGAGCGATAGACTTGTCGTTTATTAGTAGCCCATTAAGTGAAGAGCGGAAAAGTGTCAACGACCTTGTCATACGAGTTTCTTCTGGAAGCCTATTCCAAGTATGTGAGTTGTTGAGCAAGAAATTATTTCGCAAGCTCGCCGTACAATACTCAGTTTAAACAAATACTTTGTGGTTGCGCATGTCATACGTAGACGTTACAACTAGCTTGATTTGCAAACCATGACAGCGCGAGTGCTGATGAAGTAACTTACAATAAAATACGAGGTTCAGTTTAAGTCTCCTCTTCCAGATTGGTTCTAACCTCAACATGTCACACCTGGACGTGCAGTCTAGATTACAGCCAGTTCCTAATGTTCTGAAGGTTAAGTAACGTTCTACCCCTTCAACTTTCAGTTTGTCACATAAATAAATGTTTTGTTCTGGCGTTAAAAAAAGATTTTAACATGAGAGAAGTCAGTTTACAGGCTTCATCACGTTGATACATCTCAAAATATCCACAAGACTTCAGCCCTGAGTGGTACTGACGGGATGTCATTAAACTCAATCGAAACCTGCCGAACGTCCTGCTAGTTATGAAATGAACAAGGAAATATTACTTTACAGCGTACATAGAGTGATAAACTTTACATAATAATAAATTTTGTCTTCATGTAACAGGTTTAACGTGAGGGATGCCAGTTTACAAGCATCGTCAAATTCACAACTTTTGAAGGATTACGAACTGGTATCTGGTATTAAATAATTTACATATCAAATCACTAATGTGCACAATTTCATTAAAATTTACTGAAATTCATGAGACGGATACGGATTTCCATCTCCCCTCTCACAGATAGGTTCCATTATCAATATCAAAAGCGCGCAATGTTCAGAGTTTGCGTTATGACCAACCGACGTTGTTAGTCCATCGGCATAGTTTGCCAGTTAGTAATATAATGATATTACTGAGAATAATCTTCAGATTTTGGGTTTTGCTAACCACAGAGGATCCGTCTATACAATCTAGAGTATCAATAAATTATCCACAGCTCAATAACCAGCATACACGGTTATATCAATGCATTTCCAGGTCACCACGTTACGTTTAAAGGTAGTATAGATTAATTCTGCTGGGAATACTTGATGTATTGGGTGAAAATAGACGTTGAAACAGTCAATGGTCCAAGTGGCAGTATTTACGCAAAGACTTTGGTTATCTTTTGTATTGGCGTAGGCGGCATCATTCGAGAAGTGTATTTAATGCATGGTAAGTTTCATATGAAGAGGTCTCTTGGTACAGAGTACTAGAAAATGTGTAGTGCGGAGCCATTACAGGCACATGACGTCCTACGGAGGCCATTGAGGATAAACGGGCAATATTCCAAAAGTGGGCGAATGCACACCCTATAGGGTAGAACCCGTGATTCAGTGCTACAGAAGTTACGGATGATGCATCCCATGAGTTTGCGTGACTTGGATCTGATATGTGCTGTTTGTTCCGAGAATGTCAAGTCTCTGGAATACCTGATGCCAAGATGTAGCACAGAAGCCAGTCTAGGTAGCTGTTTTCCGCATACCTCAAGGGTCAGGTCATGGTTGTCGTTGCCTATAGTAAGCCAACCGCATTTGTCATTATTGAATTCAAGGTGCGACTCAGCACACCATGATGCAAGTTTACTTAGTTCCTGTCAGGCAGTATCCAGAGTATTACGTAGTTCATGAGAGTGACAAGTGTACACAACCTTCAAGTCATCGGCGTATAAGAATGCTTTACCTTCACTGAATCAGCCGCACACACTGTTGATATAAATTATGAACAACAAATACCCAAGGACACTACCCTGTATAACTTCTCTAGTTATATGTCCAGGTTCAGACTGCACGGAGTCTACTTTCACGATTTGGGCACGACCACTAAGAAATAATTTTATCCAGCGAAGTGAGGGGTCGCAAACACCAACCGATTATGGCTTATTAAAGGGTGCATTATGAGACACCTTATCAAATGCCTTCGATGTATCAAAGCATGAAACAATGACGATTTTACATGCCTCACGGTTACTAGTGATAAAGTTGGAGAAATCAAAGTGGCAGGTAACGCAAGACCTATTCTTTCCGAAACCATGCTGCGACTTTGTGATTAGGTTTTCTGACAATAGGTAATCGGAGACGCTGCTTTTAATTACTTTTTCCATAATTCTAGGGAGGACTGGTGTTATTTTGTTGGGTCTGTAATTATTGGCGTTCGATTTGTCTCCGGACTTATAGCGAGGTGTTATGTGGCTAGTTTTCCATTCAGTGGGGTATACGCCACTTTCCATTGATAGGAGGTATTTTTGAAGCGTGCGTTACGTCTTTTGCGCGTCACTTGTGCTTTTGGACTTTGGCAATCTGGCTACGATACAGTTTCATTTTTGGCTTGCAGATTAAACCTTCTAAACATATACGCTATCCGCTAAATGTTGCTGTCATTTTCTCCGCAACTATTGATTGCATATCTCTGGTTTTCATCAGTACATGAACTTTGGTCTGGACTTCAGTGTTCGTCACTATTTGACGGGAAGTTGTAGCATCTTGCTGCTTTATCTACCAGTTTGCTGCAAAAGCTGAGGTTAACAGATAACCAATAACTTTAATCTGTGTTGCAGATAAGTCTCTAATCTTGCTATTTTATTGCCAGACAGTAAATTTTTGCTTCTCTATGTCCGTGCCTTGTAGCCTTAACATGAGTAACGTTATTGCTACCGTAAAAAAACCAATCCATGAAGCTAAGGGATCAAAAGTTTCTAACCCGTCACTAGGGTCTGAAAATGGTTTATTAACGAATGGCCCTTCTGTTTATCTGCCTGACGTCGTGACTGAAGTATAAATGGTGCTACTGCGAAAAAGCGTAATATTGTTGGCAACAATAATGCGACTGCTGATCTTCAGCATAAACTTGACTGTCTTACACCTCTGGTTTGCCTACTTAACCCTACAACGGACTTATCAGTGGATAACCATATCAAGTGTGAAACATTGGTGAATTTTGCAGCCGCTGAAGTCGGCAAACGATTGACTTCGTTGTACAACTCCATTGTCCCCAATGTCCCTGATAGTTTACCACTAGAACGCGTTAGAAATGAACTCCTCCAGGCCTGTGGTTCGCATGAATCCGTTTGCATAGTCCGGCGTCTTATGGAGGAGACTAGTAAATACCCCTGTCCAATATTATTCCAATTTAGCTCACTCCTTGATGCGAGACACTTTTGTGGTTCATAGAAATCTGTAAGACTCTTAAGGAGCTGTGAGAATGCTAGGGTACTTCCAGATCTTACCCCATGTCAAAGACGGACACGTGTTTCGAAACCTTATGAGGTCCCTCTGGAAACTTCATCAAAACCAATGGCAACCAGAAGCATGCTGGCGCATGTGGGTCAGCTCCTCACACTAGATGACATTGTAAGTGTGGATCAAAAAAGGCTGACCGAGCATATTGTTGCCAGTACATCAGTTGCTACTGTTTCACCATCCAACATGGTAGTAAACACTGAAACTCAAGGTCAAATCTCCTCCAGTTATGCGGATTTATTCTCAGATGATGTTTATATGGGTGGCAAAGATAATGATACGTCCGATGTGCACCTGACTCCCCTGAGTTTATCAAAGAAGCCTGCATCACCCAGGTGCAGTTAGGCTGACAAGCCTTTACCGCCCTCAAACACGATGTTGACTTCTAGGTGTATCGACAGCGCTCAGTCACGAAGTGCCATGTTTTGAAAATCTAAACCCAAAAGTCGTAGTTCGAGCACACAGCCAAAGCCAATGGCACAGAAACGTTTTGGCCAGCCCCGTAGTAATTATTTTCAGACTGTTAAACCCAACGGTTATAACGCCATCCGATGGGTGACCCCGTTTCCTTACGCAGACGCATTCACGACGTCCACCGATATGACACCAAGCACTATGGCGCCCTCACTAACCAACAGAAAGGTAGGATTCATACACCAAGGTGGTAAAAAGAAAGGGAACATGCGTAAGAATGCTCAGAACACAAACGCCACCCACAGTCATGAAAACAAGGGCTACAGGAGAAACGATAGCTTTTTCTCCTCATACCCATCTACACAACACTCAAATCCAATGTATGCTCACCCCAGTACAACGATATTGCCTCCCAATTAGATACCTGCTGTTCGGACGCAGCCTGTGGCACTGGCTCCCCAACACATTGCACCCCACCCCCTCCCATATAGAAGTGAAACCGCGGATCTACTTGGATCATTTCCGCAGGCGCACATGCCCAGAGCTCATTCTGAAAACCCAAATTTTCGCGAACTCCAAAAATTATCAATGCCTTTTGCTGTTCAGATGATGGCAGTGTCGAATCAGCTACTTTCGACCCTAACTCACAACCGCGGCGGTGGTGGGGAAGATGTTAAACCAACCTGGCATCCTCCCGGCTCATATACAGTGGGCCAACGCCTCCCACAATAAAGGATAATATTAGTGGTAACCCAATGGTATCTTATTCCCCTATTATATTTCCGAAATTAAATTCTACCCCATGTTTCCCACCACTACAGTTCCACCCAACCCGCGAGAAAAAGCTTTCCAAAAACAGGTTTGGGTGCTACCGTTTACCTAATTCTTTAACCTTCTGTCTGATTAACGCCCGTTCTATGCGCAGCAAAATAAGCGAGATCACCACCGTGTCGATTATGTCTAACCCCTGCCTAATATTTATCACTGAAGCTTGGTGTACTCCAGACACTCCTGATAGTGATGTCTCTGTTGACAATTATACTGTGTTTGGGGCAGATAGATATAGTGGTAGAGGTGGTGGTTGCATCATTTGTACCAGGTCCGATATTGCTGCGACAAACTGTGTTACTTCAGAACTCAATTCGCTCAGTGACTCAGTGTGGGTTGTGGCGAAGTTTGCAAATGCTATAGCTATCCTCTTGGGGTGTATCTACCGTCCCCCTGCTCTACTGTTGATTATGACGACAGGCTTGCAGAAGTGTTCACCCATGTAGCAACACTGCTCTACTCCATGAAACTTATATGAGGTGACTTTAGTATGCCTGACATCAAGTGGCAGACACTTACTTCTCCTGGGCGGTTTTATAATTTTATTAGTGCTTTGGATTCCGGAGGATGGCGCCGACATGTAATGCAACCAACTAGACATAACAGCATACTTGACCTCGTTTTCGCCAATCAGTTATTGCCTTTCACTCTTCGAGTAGGCCCAGGTTTCCCGGGGCAGCGATCACAAAGTAGTGTTTGGTGACTTCCGACAATCTCCCAGAAATACGTTAGCTCCCAGGTCAGCAACAACCACAGTTAGACGACATAAAAATGCCATCTGGGAAGAGATTCAATACATGTTGCGATGCTTGGACTGGGGTTCTTATTTCACCAGTAGCTCAGCCCATGAACTAAGTGACATCTTCTACAGTTCCATGAATGTGATTCACGATCATATTGCTCCGGAGGTATCACTATTAATTAGAGAGCCGAAAGTGAATTGCATCCCTGAAAAAGTACTTATTAGCATGCGCAGACGTACCAGAAATTTCTGTCGATCTAATGACTTTTCATCCCTTGCCTCACTAAAAATTACTGGTGAGAACTTCAAATCAAATAAGTTACTGAAAGCAATCAAGCAAGAAACTAGCTGCAACGCACATACAGACAATGTTCAGTCGTTAGTGAGAGTTCTAAAATCCCGTGTAAGCTTGTCCAGAGTTATTCCCAGTAATCTAATCATTGATGGGGACATTCTTTATGATGACCCATGTAAGATCTGTCAGCTGTCTAGTAAACATTATGCAAGCTGCTTCACGCACAAAGACAGTGTGCTAAACATACAGATGCCCATTCCACCACTCACTAAGTAATGTTCCCTTAACACAGAGAAAGATGATGCAGTTGCTTCATTAAGGGATTCATGTTCTGCCGGACCCGATGGGATCCCGTTTGTTCTCCTTACCATTGATCCTCATGAAGCTATTCTCAATATCCCCTACTGAGGAATGATACCCTGACCACTGGAAGCCGTCATGCATACCTCCCACGCATAAATCTGGGCCGACGTCAGACATTCAAAATTATCGCCCCGTTAGTATTACGTCTGCAGTCTCTCGTATCATGGAGAAGGTGGTTGTGCAAGATATCACCGATAACGCGGCTGAGCAGCAGCTACTTTCCCCTATACAGCATGGTTTCTTAAAAGGTCGTTCATGTGGTACTTGCCTACTGGATTATCTTGGGAGGAGGGTCACCTGCAGACGAGATGAAGGCATTTTCGTAACTGCTCTATTTTTTGACTTCAAAAAAGCATTTGATAAAGTGCCTCATAAACGGTTAATTCTTAAGCTTCAATCATTTGGAATTAGTGACCCTCTATTATCATGGATGAGCTCATTACTTAGACAGCGTACTCAAATAATAAGGCTCAACCACACCTACTCTTCCCCGAAGCCTACTTTGAGTGGTGTCATTCAAGGTAATGAATCAAGGCGCTTACTCTTCCTCCTTTACATAAATGATATTTCTGACGTAATAAGATACGGTGAGCCCTACCTGTTTGCTGACTACTTGAAAATTGTGTGTAGCGTTCCCCACTCATTGCTAAGTGAGGGTTTTAGTAGAATCCAGGAGGACCTGAGTAATTTGTTCGCTTGGAGTGAAGCATGGCAACTTCCACTTACTTCGAGTAAATGCGGAATTCTCTGTTTCAATAACTTATCCAAACATCAGTTTACACCTTGGTGATTCCTTGTTGCAATCTTATGACCCAGTACGTGATTTAGGTATTTGGTATTCTCGGAACTTAATGTTTACGGAATATGCCTGGTCACTTGCCTCTAAGTGTAGGCCCTCAGTTGGCCTTTTGCATAAACGCGTACATACCACTGAGGCTAGACTGCTTTTATTCAAGGTAATGATTCGTGCAGTACTTGAACATGGCAATATCATCTCCAGCTATACGCATGCTTCGGATAGGATACCAGTTGAGAATGTTCAAAGAAAGTTTACTCGCTATATACTGGGCCGTCACGAAGAACTTGATTATGAGGGAAGATGTAAGAAACTAAAAATTGACCCACTTTGGCTAAGAAGCCTTAAGCCCAACCTCAACCTATTTTTTCCGTCTTTTGTATGGCACCACTCACGCCTGTTGCGCTTCTACGTTTAAGCCTATGTCCTCATATAGTCTACGCAATCATGAATGCACTGTACCTGTAGAAAAGGGCCACCTTCAACTTGGGTCACGATCCTTCATGTTACAGTAAAGCAAGTTATGGAATAAGCTTCCACATTTTACTCGCTCTTGTATGTCTGCATTTCAGTTTCGACGTCTACTCAACGAATTTTTTCTTCTCACGGATTTCTATAAATTTCTTGACATTCATACTACATCCACAAATACGAAGTATAATGGAGCCATTGGCACATAACAATGGTCAAGCCATTGCGTCCACTGTGAACGTCCTCAGACCTCTAAATGTAAGAATCGGTTTTATTAAAGCCCTGCAGTTCCTTTAATGCAGACGGCTTTACGACTGCATACAAGGATGTGAATACTGGCTCCTCTCCGAATAATGACCTTGAAGAGTACTGTTTATCTCTCAAAGCCACAACGGTTCACCCCCCCACCCAAAAGAACTTAAGAACCTCATAATGGAAGGACTATGTAGTTGACATATATACATGAAAGTGCACATAAGTCCAGGTAATTAAAAGAAAGAATAGGGACCTCTCTCTACTTCAAATTTTATAGCGTAGTAATTACTCTTTTCACATCTGCTCGTGCTTCTTCTTTCTCTCCCCACTTGCAGAAACAGCTGCAAGTCGACATTTGATGTCAAAATTCAGTCTGAACATGAATGTTTCTTAGGATTTGTCCTGGTGCGAACTTGACAGACGCAAAGACCAATCACTAATTATTCGGACTTGTTATATACCCACGAGTACGAGGCCAAGGAAGAACACAATGGCGTAGTCGGATGGAATAGTATATTGGGGTGGTTGTACCAGGATACCAATGCGTTCCAACTAACTGGCTACAGGGTCAAATACGAACAGTGCAACGTTACGCGACAGCGTGGTAAATGGCGAGGATGCTTGACCGGGTGCTTTCAGCTTAGCAAGTCCAGTTAAACTATCATGGTCGACATTAATGTCGAGAGTCGTCAAACCCTAGGCTATTGATTTTGGGGAAGTATGTGACGCTACAAGCTAATGGCAGGCTGTCTAGCTTTTTGCCCTCAAGAGTTTGTGCTTTATGGAATGTTATTGTCTTTTTAGTAGACCCATTCAAAAGATGGCAATACAGTTGCGTTATTTCTCATGGCTTACCGCAGACGTACTCAGAAGTTTACTGACCTTACTAGCCCACCACCTTCCTATTTACCACTTGATCTCTTGCTGGCACACCTACATTATCTTGTAACTCTTGTCTAGCAGCTGGGCCCATACTATCTACTTTCATCTTTCGGATAATCCATATGTATCTTCACCTACTGTCCTGCTATTCCCGTTCATACACCTATACAGACAGGAGTCACGGAAGACCCCCGAATCTGCCAACCAATCAGCAGCTCCCTAATCAATCTAAAAATGACAACCGGCAGGAGCATTGACCTAACCGAAACCAAGAGCAGGGAAGCAGAAGAGATCTCTTTTCCCACACTGAGAGGAAACCAGAAGACCATAACTAAGTGCAAGAGATAAGAAACTATCAGTTTCTTACGCTGGCACCATCAATGTTGTTTAAGGTCGATGTCAGTTGATGGTTGGAAATCCGGTTTATCGACCTTAAAGTTGCTACACTTGTGGCCTGCTCTCTGTATTTCCGGCATCTGTTCAGTGTTCAACTAGTTATTCACGAGATACCTGTATCTTGGATATTGGATCTTCAAGAAGGTCAAGTTCTTTTCACGTGGTTTGAATCGGTCATTCTAAGCGTATCTCTTGAAAGAAGTACGTAGGGAATCGCAGTGCTTAAAAGCGCTGGAGTGAGATCGCAATCTATTTTATTCCGGTTGCTCATGACCTGGGTTTATAATAATACTTTTTAGTTCTAAAATCAAAAGCTTGAAAGCGTTACGACTTATCTTTCACTCCTTTTGTGCAATATGTACGTCCAGAGTCATGCCTTAGGAAGTTGCAGTTAGATAGTTATGGTTGGTTATAACGCAGGCTGAAGTTCTTAGATAATCAGTCAGTGTGATAGTACGACATAGTCAGAGCATGGGGTTTTAAATTCAGGACTCGTTTTCTTGGTTGGCCACTGACTTTGTTCCATATTCACACCATTTTTCTTCTGCTTCACATCATGTTTAACATGTTCTTCTCGTCAAGTGAACGACTCCTAACCAGATCGTGGTTTTCGTTTGTTTCCCTTTTACTCAGCTTCAATTTGGATCTTTCCGAAAGAAAGCTCTGGTTAACGAACTGCAGTCATGGTGACATTTGATCTTTCTTTTCTTTTCCCAAAATAATGCAGCAAGGTCTGACGCACAGTTTTGAAAATCTGTCTATGCAAAGACATCTGATTTTCTAGGAAATTCCATCACCACTTGCGGGTATCTGTTTATTTAGAATCCAACCGAAAGTACGGGTGTAAATTATTACCATGATCTAGTTACTGTAACTGACATTAATATGGAAATCGTTTTTTTTATTTGATACTGAATCACCCGCATAGTCATTATGCCCTATCTACCATTGACACTACAAATGATTGTCATACCTGTACCGATTGTATGCTGTGGGTTGTACACAGTGCTTCTAAATTCTGAATCTCCTTAGGTAGCTTGCAATACCATTTATCTTTAAAGGCATAATACAATCACTCCTAACGCACTTGCTACGAGATAATTAGCGTGAAATTCTCTTATTGTCAGCCATTTCCTTGGTATCGTGATCCTAGTAGATAACATTCGTCCCACTTAGAAATCTTATTTCAGTCTTGGTCATTTATGCAATGTATTTATCCTGAATATACAAGATATTTTTTGTCCCCACTTTTCATCAAGTTCTCTGTAAGCTAGTGGGACCCGCTGCGGATGTTCACTTCATATACTTTGTGTGCACCTCGTGGTATGGTATTTCAACTTTGGCATTAAAAACAACTATGGACTTTCGGACTTCAGTTGCACTTCTAAATCACTTTCATAAGGTGATACTTTTTTACGTGGTGTCATTCACTAAGACATCACTGGGTTGCTAACCCATTATTCTTAGGCACGTTCGTAAGGTGAGCCTTTTCCCACTTTCTAAATCGTTACACTAGACGTCGAGTGATGCTGCGAAAGAGTTTACAGCAATTAAAACTTAATTCGTTGAATGTGTCTCTTTAAAGGATATGTTGGTGTTTCATAGTTATTTTGATGTCAGTAACAGCTGTGGATATTAGTTGCATAGCAATTACCAGTAGGGTTATAGGCGGTTTCTGTCTTCATCTATCACGTTATATGCAATACCCAGCAAAAACCAAGCTGCGGTTGATTTGTACCAACCATCGAGCCCGAAGTAATTTGATAACGCTTCACGGGACTCACTGCAAGGAGGAAAGATGTAGTAGATTTCAACAATTAACAAACATTGTAAGACGCAAATTACATAGGCGGGAAGTGGGCAGATTGGTTCACAACTTTAGGGGAATTTCTGCATTCATAGTTGGTGTGACATTCCTATCCATTAAGCAAAATACCAAACTTGAAATACCCTGTTCGCAACAAAATTACGGAAAAAAAATTAAAAGGTGTATGATAAAAAAATTGGTATAATAAGGGTGTAAATGTGAAAATGGAAAAGTTTGTGAATAATTTTAAATGAAATTCATCTATCTATGGTAAGCGCCAAAAAATTTATGTTGAACACGAAAAGCAATCAAAGTAGCGTTTTCGGAACTGACTCCCCTCCTTTTCTCTCTCGCTTGTTGGGCTCTGGTTCAGTAGCTTAGGAGATGACTACCAACCATTGGGCCACAAGTTTGGGTCCCGCCAAGGTTTAGGCAGTCAGGTAGTATCACTAGGCCTCGCACAGTATGTGCGAATCATTGCCTACTGCACGAATGTACACAAGGCTGCTGAGTGCGTTTTGATTTCGCCATTTCACTCCGTGGTCTCTTTCCATTCGTCACAGAACGACCAAATCTCATTTCAACAATCCTGAAAGAGCTGTGTATGACAGGCCTGAGGCCAATGTCCCATGGACTCTGTGATCACACAAACCCTTTTATCTTTCAGATACCTTAAGAAGAAATAGTCTTCCACGGTGTGGTCAGCAGGCAGTCAGCCGTCTGAACGTTTCCAGTATTAATTAAGAGCCAACAAAGCATAACATATCCTCCTTACCTCTGTCTCTTCCTTTTCTTCTACCTCCTAATACTGATATTAGCCCTGTAGAACTTCCCCTATCTCCCACACTTCGACCGGTGGCAACGATGAAAGCCATCGAAGTGTCTCCCAAGACCCCACCATCGGTTTTTTGTATGGGGTTTCAACGTGTGAACTCTGTACCAAGTCGGATGGCGGGCATTGCTCACTAGGACTTAAATTTTGAGATATGGTTGTATGCTGTCTCTGAGACACGTGTACAGGGTGGGAGTGTGGTTATTAAACTGACTTCAGCTGACCAGTGTGGTGTCTTCAAAATACCTGTTACGAGTATGTGGAGACGCAGTGGTTAGCTCTCGTGGACTGACTGGTGTAGGCATAGCATTGAGCTGTAGGACAGGAAGTTCGCTTCTCAACTGGATACCAGTCTACAGCTGTCTGTGTGCTATATGTGTGAATGTATCTGCAAGAACTTTGAAGGATTGTGGGACTAACTGATGCCCATTGGTGATCTTCGCCTACATACCTACTGACTGCAGTTTGGATGATGCGAAGAATGAATACTATGAGAAACTGTCAACTTTGCTACAAAAGGCAAGATGTTCAGATGTAGTAATAATGGTAGGTGACTTTAACGTAGAGTTAGGTCAGCTGAACCTGAAAGCTGATAGAGGAGAGGAGGGTGGTGAAGCAGAAGATAAACCAGTGCAAGGACGCTCAACGACATGAGGAACTGAGCACAATGTATAAAACACTGAACAAAGAAGTAAAAAAGAGTGCACGCAAAGACAGAAGACACTTCTACGAAACACTGGCAAGTGAAGCAGAACAGGCTGCAGGTAAGAGAGACCTGACGACATTGTATCAAATAACCAGGTTGCTATCAGGGAAGAGATCAATACAGATGAAACCAATAAAAGATGAAGAAGGAAATTTAATCACGAAAGAAGAGAAACAAAGGAAACAATGGGCCGACCACTTCAAGAAGCTCTTGAATCGACCACCACCTGCACTTCGTCCAGAAATACCACCTGCAGCCGCTGAATTACAAGTGAACATAAATACTCCAACAAAAATGGAAGTCCTGAACGCCATAAAGCCACTGAAATGCGGGAAAGCAGCAGGACCAGATGGGATCCCGCCAGAAGCACTGAGAACAGACGCAGAGACAACAGCGGACATGCTCACACCACTATTGCAGAAGGTGTGGAGGGAAGAGAAGGTACCTGGCGATTGGAAGAAGGGTTACCTTGTCAAACTGCCGAAGAAGGGAGACCCTAGTGTTCGCAAGAACTGGCGCGGAATCACTCTCCTGTCCACCCGGAGCAAGCAAAATATTAAGCCGCATCATCCTGGAGAGGCTAAAGGATGCACTGGATTCCAAACTACGACCGGAACAGGCAGGCTGGATTCAGGAAGTACAAATCATGTGCAGACCAAATTGCAACGCTTCGCATCATCATAGAACAGAGTATAGAATGGCAGTCGACTCTCTGCCTCACCTCAACTTCATCGACTTTAAGAAGGCCTTTGACAGCGTTGACCGAGAGGTAATTTGGAAACTGCTTCATTAATACGGAGTACTGCAAACCTTAATCAGCCTCATTCAACAAATATATGAAGATGCCACATGCCAAGTAATTCACAATAAAAAGCTCAGTGGTGCTTTTGAAGTGAAGACAGGAGTGAAACAAGGTTGCCGCCTACTATCACCCATGATATTCCTGATTGTGGTGGACTGGATTATGCAGCAAACAGTGGGGAGCGAGAAGAGGGGGATACGCTGGCTGGACTGCGGAAAAGAACCTAGAAGACTTGGATTTCGCCAACGATGACTTGTGCCTGATGTCACATAAACTTGAAGATCTACAGGCGAAAACTAACAAGTTGGCAGAAGAGGTGAGGCAGCGAAGACGGGACTTCAAGTGAATATAGAGAAGACAGAGGTGATGAAGATACCACACCACCACCACCAACAACAAACTCCAATCACTGTCAACGGGAGAAACTTAAAGGAAGTAACCTTCACTTATCTAGGAAGCACTGTTTCAACTACAGGCGGGACGGACGAGGACGTCAGATCCAGTCAGAATCGGAAAAGCAAGACAGGTGTTCATTAGCCTGAAACCAGTGTGGAGATCTACACTCAGCATGCGGAACAAGATACGGATTTTCAACACCAACGTCAAGTCAGTGCTCCTGTATGGTTCAGAGACTTGGAGCGTTACGAAAGGGATTTCCAATAAACTACAGACATTCATCAACAACTGCTTACTCTGGCTCGCTACTGAAGATCGGATGAGATGGCCAGAAAGAATAAGCAACAAGGAACTCTGGGAACGAACCAACCAAGAACCTATCATGCAACAAATATGCAGGAGGAAGTGGAGATGGATTGGGCATACATTGAGAAGGCCGACTGTGTACATCACGCGTCAGGCCAGTTGCTCGATTGGAATCCCCATGGGAAGCGACGAGTTGGACGTCCGAGGGTGACATGGAGGAGGTCGTGCGAGGAGGAAATGAGAGCTTGTGGGCTGTCGTGGAACCAGGTTCAAAAGATTTCAAAGAACAGAGTGTACTGGAGACGTGCTACTGAAGCCCTATGTTTCACTAGGAACCCAAGGGACTAATAAT